CCCCTCCCCCCACGTTTCTCCTTGGCTGCAGTAAATGCTGCTTTTGAGAATAGCTGAGCACCGCTATGTCAGTGTGAAGTTGTGTTTGTTTTCTCAGTTTGCTTTTGCTTTTCTGTCAAATAACACTAATGAATAGCTGACTTTTAGGGGTGTCCCGGACAAATACTGGACCCATGTTGTTGTTTTGATGGTGCTGTGTAACAGTGAGCTACGCTAGTAGCTTCAAAGTGAAGGTATCTGGTTGTGTTACCTATGAGGGTGACTTACTGCCATACGTATGCTAATGGGTGTGTTTGTTAATCTCCTATGGAGCAGTTGGGTACCATGTTACATGGCAGATTAAGAGTATGCATCAGACTCGATCTTTTCATGACTTTAGCATATTTGTGGGCATTGATTGTTGAGCGTGTACTAAAGACCTTCAGTGTTACAGTAGTACAGTTAGATGTTGTGTAGTTGCTATGACCTCAACATGATGCTGGATTGTGATGGTGAAATGGACTTACTCAACAGACTTAACTAACCTATGATTAAGCAACAATTTGGTTTTATTTTGTCTAATTCCTTTCATACACACCATTTCTAGAAGGCTTTTATAAAGCTAGGTAATCTTGTCATATAACATGTATGAACTGTGATCAGCAGAGCAGTTTCTGGAATTTGTTATGTTAATTTGCATTGCATGAGAATAAAAAACAGCAAGACCTCAAACTATTGCTGAGAGTTATTGTTTTATCAAAATCATGGGGTGGGATGGTATTTTTCAGGTGTCTGCCTAATCTAGTGAAATACCATTGTAAAAAGGTGAAAAAATGTATAGAAAGGCATGAAAATGCTGAGGTGGGTGCAAGACTTTCACACTTGTCATGACTGTGTGTGTAAGAGAGCCTAGGTCAGGCAGACCTTCTGGGAGCATCTGCATTAGTATTCAATTCAGATTAGGTGCATACTTTTAAAGTGAATCTCCTGATTGTCCACACTTACCTTGCTTTCCCTTGTATTGAAGAGTGAGCTTGGAGCGCACAAGCTAGATTACTTTCATATCGGAGCATATCTTCCAACATAGGTGGAAGTACACTGTAGTTCTGAAGTGCGTTTAATATTCTACAACTGCTAATGAGCCTTCAGTTGACAGAAAGAGGCTGGAACTAGTCCAAAGTAATCTCTGTCCTCCCAGCGTACATATAATGAGGGTCTTGGGTTGTCCACATCGTCTATTTTGCTTGCAAATCTTCTGCTGTTGGTCTGCAGTACTTGACAATGGCTGTACCTTTATTAGTTTGAGAGTGACTCAGTATACTGAAACTGAACTTTAGCCTGAATGTTAAAGATTGTATTTGGAATATGTTCCTTCCATATGAATCTTCTGGCTTTGCTAGGTATGATGTTAAAAAATAAAAATAAGCATTGTATGGGGGGATATTTTGTAAAGTATGTTTCAACTAATTGAGCAGTTGAGATGAAGATGAGATAGAAGAAGAGAGATCAGATCAGACTATCCATACTGCAGACTGTCTTTCTGATACTTTGTCTTTTATCTCTACTGCTGCAATCATCTTCTCTCAAGCCATTTTGCTTTCTCAAACCTAGAAAGAGAAAGGTTCTCTAAACCTAGTTAGAAATGCAGTTGCTAAAATGATCACCATGCTTGTCGACTTGATTGTTCCACCTGTGCATGTGTTGCCTTATGCTTCTGAGTCCTTCCACAGCTTAGATCTTATTTACTGCTGCTACTATATTGTGGTCATGAATTCCAGATTTGAGCATCCACCATTCAGTTATTACAAAAATAACTGTGCTGCTTTTTGACTCCTCTATTTGACTGCCATTTTTGAGGATGTTTTTGCCCGTCAATCTTCATTCTTTTCTCCATGTTTCCTTGTGAGGCAAATCTCGCTGGGAGCCTTACAGCATGCTATCTATCAAGACAAGGCAGTAGGTAAGCTATGTTGCTTGTATCACCAGCCTACACAAAAGCATCCGCTTATTACCATTGCCTCATCCTCCTTCAATCTCATTAGTTCATGTATCATTCATTTCTTAGTGCTTTGTTGCTAATATAAATTGTAGTATAGTTTTGGAAGGGACTGTCACTATGCAAAATCTTTATGTATTCCAACGTACTTGCGCTGGCATATGATACCAGTGTATAAAAAGTGGTAAACATTTGTGCAGTAATGATAAAAAATGTAAAAGACTTAGTGAACCCTTTAATTTCCATATTGTATGTCCCTCTGCTGCTTTGGGCAGAGGAAGAAGTTGGGAGAGTATGGGTGTCCTTGTTACCAAGCAGAAGAATTATGCTTGGTAATCTAAGTAGCCTGGCAGAGGACTGGTAGTATATCTGCTGCTTGAAGTTAACTGAGTAAAGTGTGTGAGGAATAGTGGCAACCTATGGGATGGTTTAGTTTTGTATATTGTGAATTCCTTTGTTCACCTTTCTACATAACGCTTGAAAATCCTGGGTCTTGTTAGTGTGAGATGAAATTCAGCTTCTCAAATTCTGGAAGGTGAAATCCCCATTGGGGAGCACCTTAAGGGCAGAAAAGAACGTTGCAGACATAAATGTAAACTAGTGTTTTGCTGTTTATGTTCAACTGAACCATGAAAGTGTTCTAGTGTACTGTGACTTTTTACCTTTGAAACTTCCTCCTTCCCAGCGTAGTTTATTTAAGCATACATAAATGAGACAAGATACATTGTTCTCTCATGGTTTTTGCTAGAATACTTCTCTGCTTTTTTGTAATTTCTGCTGGAACATCAGCAGTGGCTCAGTATCACTCATAGCTCTGCTGACCAAAGTTGAGAAGAAAAATAGCACACAAATTAAAGAAACATCCTAATTTAGCAAAGCAAACGTTTACTTGTTGACTGTGTAACAAAAAGTTATCTTACACAGGCTTTTCAGAGTGTCCTTTCTAATTTTGATATGGAACGGTTGGCTATAGAAATGATAGCAGGAAAAAGACAACTTTCACCCAGTTTTATGCTGTCAGACAATAGAGGCAAGGTCTAGTACAACTCATATCAAGTAGTAATGTATGAATAATTAAGCTGTGTATGTTAACCCACTTCAGTAGGTCAAAGATCATTGAGTTAGTACTAGCTGGATTAGTCACAGCTGCTCTTCTGTAAGAGCTATTACATCGCTCATCACATCTGCAGAACTGAGAGGTGGTATCACTTCCAGTTTACAATATATTTTAACCACAAATTTCTAAAATCCTTCGAAAGGGCACAATGTAGAACTATTTGCCTATAGTAACTTGCTAGTATTCCGTGTTACCTCCTCTGTGTAAAGTATTGAAAGAAAAATGCACTGTTTCTCCATTTGAAGTGTTTTTTTAAAAAAGTCAATTTCCTTTGAATAGCCTTCATTTCCTCATGAAATTTGTTATGTAAATGTGTAATTTAAATGCATCAGTTATAATTTGGGTTTTTTTTAGAATCATAAGACGCAATCTTGTTTGAGATACTGCTTTATGCTATGTACATGGTAGAGGAAAACAATCCTGACTCAAATCCATCATGAACTGTTTCTGCAAACAGCAGTGACCTCATCACTGCTCAGGGCCTGACAGTTGAAAATGTTGCTTCCAGTTAGGGAAATGACTCTTAAAAATCTGTTTAAAGACCAGTGGTTCTATTTTTCAGTGTTGAGTATCGGAGGAAGATTTAAAGAATGGAGGAATGAAGGAGAACTAGCAGAAATCAAATCGGTAGTCTTTGTACTTTGTTCTGTATCAGCTAAAATCAAGAAGAAGCCACTGTCACTGAGCAAGATCTGGAAAGACTGATTTTTTTGGAATGGATATTTTTTCAAGTAATAAACAGTACTGAAATAAAACTTGGAACTAATCTGCACTACTTTTTTCCTAAGTGGTGATGTGTTCTGCTGTAAAACAAGTACTGTCTGATTGTGTGCAAGCACAAATAGCAAATTTTTCTTTTAGCAGCTCCTTGTATTACCAGATATCAGTGTGTTGCCATGAGTTACTATATTAATTGAAAGATAATAGCCTCAACATTACTAATGGTGCATGAGTGGGAGGGGGTCATAGTTCATATTTGTGTTATACTAAAGAAAAGGCCAGTATAGTTGAGTTCCTCATTTCCTCCTCCCACCTTTCAATTTCTGCTTTTCCAGTTTGATTCACCTAATTATTTTTTTATTTAAACAAAGACATAAAATCCATATTAGATATAAACAATCAAGAAGATGATTAATGTAGAAATAGTTATACAGTATAGGACTGTAAAAGAAAAACTATGATATGTAACACAAGTATAAAATAAAACAGATGTGGAATTAGATTGCTGTGGATGGAAGGTAATATATAACTTCATTTTATAACCTTTGTCTTGAATGTCAGATGTCACTACTTATGACAAGAAGCAGCAGAATATTTGGTTAAGCCTTGGTTACTTCAAAAATCTTAAAGGGTATTACATAAAGGAGTGTGATATTGACTGTAATTCATTTAGTGAGAATTGTTCCTAGATCTCCATGTGTTTTAAAATAAAATATATGCTTGGGACAATTGGAGAATGTACTTGAACTG